AAACTGAACTATGTAGATCATAAGCATAATACAAGACTTAAAATCAATGCGCAACTGAACCCGACATGCTCAACAAAAACAATCATTCAGAGAACATATATTCATCTTACAAACCAGCTTTACAATTATTTACCTCTGAAAATCAGACTTGCATCGACAACTATTTCATTAAAAAAAAAGTCAAATGTTTCATTTCAGAAACAGATAGAATGTGTATACATCAATTAATTAATCCCTCGAATGCATGAAATGCGACCATTTGCCTTGCTATACTTATCCAGAGAAAATGGGTTCATGTTCATATTCCTTATATTTCTGTATATTTTTTCTTATGCTTCTTCAACCGCATACATTACTTAAGTGTTCCTTAAATGTTGCAAAAATGTGTATATGTCTACGAGTCAAATACACTATTCACTCTTTTTTTTTGATATTATACCTATAATTATTCAATTTTTTCTTCTTAATTACATTACCCTCTTAGGTCTGTTTCAAATCTACCCGGCTGTCGTTTGAACGACACCGTGTACACTACAATCGAGACAAAGAATGTACGACGGTCTTCCCACTTGCCCGACAAATTTCGTGGTCGGTTAAACGACACCCGACAGTCTAGCTATTGACGAGGGAAGCCGGCAGCCCCCACTGGAAAAGGACGACCGCTACTGTCGGGTCAACGAACCGGCCAAGGAAGAGGGGGAAAAGCCATTGGCGGAATTCACATCTAGCCGGCACGTGTCGTTCAATTCCAAGTTTCTTCTTCACACAGTTGTCTTGTGTGCTCGACCGTTTTCTCTTTTGTTGTTATTGTTTCAAAAAGTGATTAACATGGATGTTGATCTTAAACATTTGATCACACTAGTTCAAGATCGTTCTATTTTATGGGACAAAACCCAAGACTCGTACAAAGGTAGAATCCAAACAAGAACTGCTTTAGTCGAAATTTTCAAGGCATAAAAAGCAGGATTTGAAGAGTTGGGCCAACATGAAAAAAATGAATATGGTACGTAAAATTCAATATTTATTAACTCATTACAGAACATTAAAAACACATTATTTGTTTCGTTAAGTGTTTCGAAATTAAAAAAACATACTGAAAACTAATAAACACACCATATTTTCTATGTCACATTAAATATTGGAAAGTTGCCAATTTAACGAGCCAATTGGCGTTAGAAAAAAGTCCATCATAATGTTTCTTACGTTATTCGTTATTCGCAGAAAGTCCCCCACGCACGCATTCACTTTTTTTTGTTATACTTTGAAATCCAGTTATTGACATAGTATCCTCTGTGTTGTAACCATCTCTTTCAATAACGAAATTGTGTAAAACTACAATTACAAGGGCAAAATCGGGACTCAAGTTTATTGCTCTATGGAAAATTCTCCATTTATTGCTCATTATACCAAATGAACATTTTACATTCGATCTCTCGATAGACGATAGTTGAAAATTTTTTTTGCAACTGTCAACTGATGTCCTGCAAACGGTCGGAGAAGGCCCGGAGAAGGCAGCCCGAACGCCTCATCAGCAACGAAAAAATATGGTACCTTGGGATTGTTTGTACCAGGAAGATAATTTTCTTCATGAAGTATGAAATATGATTGAATCACTATTTTTTCCGTAACTGCCAACATCAACGTAGATAAATCGGTATTGTGAGTCTGCCACAGTCATATAGACGAAAATCCTTTGTGGTTGTTATACATTGAATTGCATGGATGGACGATGCGAATGTGTTTTCCATCTACAGCTTCTATGCAGTGAGGGAAATTAGCCCTTTTTTCAAAATTGCCAGCAATTTCTTCCCAGCGCTCTGAAGTGAACGCAGGACAACATTCGTGACGTAGGGACCAAATAGCTTGACATACAACTTTGACAATTCTGCTGAGAGTGGAAATGCCGAGTCTGAAACTATAATGAAGATCTGTAAACGTACAACCGATTGCCAGATATCTGAAAAAAAATTTCAAATCAATACCAATCAAATAAATCATATACATTATAACAAATAATTGAATTGACGATTTAAAATGGTATAGTAATATTATTGTAAGAAAAATTTGGTTAGTTGTTTTGATTTATTGTTCTTGTAGACTCCTTAAATAATGAAACCTTTAATAATATCCAAAGTTTTAAACATTATTTTTCGTCTTGATGTCAATTTCTTTTTTTTTAGATAAAGCTGTCATAAAGAGGTAGGCAAATGCCAGAGACAGTTTTCAAAGGACTGAGAGAAAGTACAAGTTTCGCTACGGTCATCAGGGAGGCAACCACCCAAATCATATATTTACGCAAAACTACAGTTAAAAAAAAACACGGAAGGGCGACTCACTGAGAACAGCTTCTCGAACGATGCCTGAGCCCCACAGCCCCCCGAACATTCCGAAATAGATGGTTCGAATGCCAATGAAGGATCAACGGAGTCGGTAGAAGAAGTGGTTACCTTCAAAAAACCCAGAACAATAAAAAAAAGGAAACCAGACCCAGTTGAAATAGAGATAAATTAGTGTCCTCAAGTAGAAACCAAATCGACATACGTCGTTTTTCAATGGTTTAATTCCCTCTCTGGAGTTGTTTAATGACGATGAAATTGTCGAACTTCAATTGAAAACCCTTCAAGTCATATCTGAAATCAAAAAGCGTACAAACGCAACTGCTAATATAAATCCGGCCATCCACCCTGGCACGTCATATCAATGGCAATCACAAGCTAATGTACAATATCATAATCTGCAACCACCGTCTTGTGCCGCCCAATTATATGAGCGTGAGGGGCAACAACTTGTGGGGTCAGCATCCCCCGTAGAATAAAACTTCTCCGAAAATTTGTCAAAGAATTCAATCCATTTTTAATCTTATTTTTTTTCCTAAATTTGTTTAATATGTTTAATTTTTCATTGTAAAATATATTCTTCCTATGTAAATTATGTATGTAAATTTGTAAAATTAACATTTTTGGAAACAATAAAAAACAATAAGTTACTATAATTTTGTTTCACTTACCTGATTGTTACTGCCAACATTTGGATAGGCTGGATACATTATCTGAAGGATGTGTTGCGCCAAAGCACCAACTTTATCTCTAGTAATATTGATCGGATGAACCTATTTTTTCTCCTCTTCTCCAAACGTCTGTAAAGGATCAGCCACGCTATTATGTTATTGCGATCCATTACTCAACGCGAACAGGTACCGAATGAAGGTCTGATGTCGGTCACTCGACAACCGAGTAAATGTGAAAAGATTCAACTTCCGTGTCGGCGTCGGCCACATGGAGGTTAGATGTCGTTTAAACGACAGCCGGGTATGTGAAACAGGCCTTAGGAAGCAATTCGGTCTTGGCCGTAATAAATGTTTCGGCGTTGTTCTTGTCTTTCAGGGAATTCGTCCTCAAGATAAGTTCGGTTTTTGATTGGGCAAGACGTTCAAGCGAACACCCTCGCCCTCTCCTGGCCTAGGTCTATCAATATAATCCGGTACCTTGCTGTTGGTATTCTGCCTCCTGAATAATATGGATTCTTCAAGAGTTTTCTTGTTCATCTATCTGGGTGTTGGGGCTTGAGTTTGATGGGGTAAATGTTTTCCTTGATGAGTTTTGTGGTGCCAACAGGTGAGTTTTCCTCAATACTCTGCAGGATTGCGTTTAGAATCCCCCTCTTTCGGGGCTTCATGGATGTCTGCTATGGCCACCTCTGTGTAGATGGGGTCGGGTAGAACTGGAGGATCGCTTCACCCTCCGCACGGGGTTTCACTCGGTCTCCACTATGCGGATTCATTATGGCCCCGGTACGTGAGTGTCGCTCTTCTCCAAATTTCTGTCTTTCCTAGATTTCTGTCTTCCCCATTCGTAGGTGTTGCTACGTTTTCTTCCTCCAGAGTATTTCCTTCCTCGTATTTTGATCTGTACGACGCGAATTGCTCCGATAGTGACATTGTGTTGGTGGGACTCACTTTATGTTCTACTGTGCGAGCCTCCCGCCTGTAGCCTGCTCTGTTTTTAAAACTAAGAGTAGATGATCCACTTCTATCAGAATCAGAAAATTCATGTACTAATCCTTCGATTTTTGAAGAGATTTTCTTACCATTTAATGACTCGCTGTCGATGTCCCGGTTTTCCTTACTTACCAGGGGTATCGGGGCTGGATTTGGTTTCATCCTTACCCTGGCTGAATGTTTGCGAGGGCTGTTTAGCCTTCGGTTTACTGGCTCGACCCCGGAATAGATTTCTTCATCTGCTTCCTCCCTTTTCCGTAGGCGTGTTTACCATCACATACGGAAAGTATAGAGAAAATGTACCAAACCAAAAATTAGGTTCGGGAAGTGTAGTGAATTTGAATTCCAACGACTCTTATGGAATGTGTCGTGAATTCCTACTTTTCCAAGTTCAAGGGCAAGTGTTGTGAATTTTGCCGAAGAAGAATGGAAAGTGTGGTTTACTAGAAAAATATTTGACTCTCCGAGTCACCACACTTTCAGAAAAAATACTTTTTCTCGTCTTAGAAAAATGGTTTGTCAAGTTTGGCAGCCACTCACTGAAAGTGTTTTGAGATTTATTGTCACTTTGAAAAATGCTTTCAGGAATGCTAAACGAAACGCAATGAACATCGATTGTACCACGTCTACATAGTGATTGATTGTATGAGTAGAATGAAACACTCGCGCTAGCCAACCGGGTATTGTTCAACCAGTCTGATATAAAAATGAAATTTGTAGATAAATATTCAAAATATTGTCTTCAAATGACAACCAAATATATTTTAACATATTCGCTTGCTGCGTCGGGGGTTTCAACCGTTTTACTTTTTGTAATTGAAGAAGTATTAGGTGAAACATGTGGAAGTTTTAATTAAGGTTTGGTGGTATATAGGAAATCAATTTCTCAACATAACATCCCTTGTGTGTATCTTGACTTCATGTCCATTAAATAGGTTTCACCTGATCAGATGAATTGATTTTTATTTTTGTCTTTCATTAATTCATGGTATTCCTTACAGGCTCCAAGATGCAGCTACTAATAAACTGACGGATGTTAAAGAAATGACTTCTTTGGGCCTTCAGTATGCAATTGAAAAACATATACTCCTCGATCTCAATATCGATTTACATGCTCCGTTGGTGATTATTCCTTCAGAGGGAAAGTTCATTGAACAAGCAAACGTCTTATTGGTGAATTTGGGCCGCTTAAAAATATTTACCCATGGCAAACGGTCGTCTGCATTCGAAGTGAGAAAGTTATATGAGCAGGGAAAAGACCAAAAGGATATTTTTGAGTTCATGAAAAAAAATTGTTATGATAATTTCCGGGTAGAATTATCTGATTTACAAATTTTAATAGCAGAAAGCAACGAAAATTGGTTGACAACACTTAGTGATTCTGTAACATCAGATATGCACTTATTAAGTCCACTTACCCTCTCTATTAATTATTCTAAATGTTTGATTGTAGATGATCCACGTTTGCCACTCAGTATAATTACTGGGGAGTTGCCTTCTATCAGTATTATATTTTCGAAGGCAAGGTTAATTTTATTAGTTGCTCTAATGGCAAGTATTGATTTTTCCGGCAAAGATATTCCTCAGCCTCAACCTCTTTCGGTAAGTAAACATAATTTCAGATATTTTTTTTGTGGAACTATCAAATCATTTCAGAAAGCTAAAGGTTCTAGTAGAATGTTACTCAAATATAAAGAACTTCAGGACACTGCTGCTAAACAGACAAAACGTTTATTGAACACTCTTCCATCTGAGTCTACCAAGAAAGAGGTTATTCAATTAACCACTTTACAGATGAAATTTATAATGTCAGGTGAGTCCCTCAAATAATGATGATAATTATTATACCTTCAATCTCTAAATCATTATATTTGACTCAGATTGAAATTTCAATTCAATGCAATCCTCTATGGTCATAACCCCCATGTCAATAATTGCAGTTATAGTTATAGTCAAAAAGAAGAGAATTCGTATATGTAACACCCAAATGTCGGACACGTGTTTCTGGCTGTTGGTTTCCTCACCGCGGTGCAACCAAGTGTAATGATGAGCAACACCTGTTTGTCGAAAACTACACATATTAGCAGAGTCAACAAGAGGAGCCAATCGAATGATTGACGGCTCTGCCGAACTCTAAAGACCTGATTCGGTCCTCAGCGGGGCAGGCACAAAGCATATGCTCTGTTAATGAGGTAGTGGGATAGTCAATTTGCAAGATTCCCACCTTGATACCCACGACAACCTTCCTATATGAGGGTTTTTGCACGTCAGCTACACCTGATGCCATAGATTCAGCCGTGCAGGGCTTTTTTGCCTCTGGTTTTGGTGAAACCTCACTTGAGCGCAAACGTTTGCTAACCTGCTCATGGGGAGTTCCGCAGCTCTCGTTCCTAAACTAAATTTACAAGGAGGTCAGTTGGAGTCGTTAACTCGAAATCCATCTCCTCTGTAGACTCGCTCCTGAACTAAATTTACAGTGAGGTCCGTTGGAGTCGTAAACTTGACATCTATCTCCTTTGTAGACTCGCTCCTGAACTTAATTTATAGGAAGGTCAGTTGGAGTCGTAAACTCGACATCAATTTCCTCTGTAGACTCGCTCCTGAATTAAATTTACAGGGAGGTCAGTTGGAGTCGTAAACTCAAAAACCATCTCCTCTGTAGACCCGCTCCTGAACTAAATTTACAAATTCGACAATATAGACAAATCTAGAATATACAATTCAAAAACGTTTGATGGTGATAGCAATACTTTGAACACATTTATCAATGTTCTTGAATGTATTCAAAAGAAACTGACAGGTAGAGTATATGGTTGGTAACAGAACCGAAATCAATTCTTGAGACGCTTTAAAATCTGCTCTGAAACAATGTTTTTCGGATAGGAGAGATTTGGACTGTTTAGTTCAAGAATTAACTAGAAGTCGACCCCATAGGGGAGAAGACCTAATGACTTTCGGTAGTAGAATTCAATTAATCAAAAGTAATGTAGTTCAAAGAGTCACAAAAAATCCAGACTCAACTCCAGAAGAAACACTTTATTAAAACAACTCTCTATGATAAAGTAAGCCTTCAGTTCTTTCGTACTTTCATTGCTGGTTGTCCAGGACCCTCAGGGAATAATATGCATTTAAAAAAGCCTTCTTCACTGAAAGATTCGTTAAACGATTTCAAACCAAAGTTCAATACTTTCAGTAGACAATCCATCATGCCAAACCTCAAACAAAGTATCCCTAGATTCATACAACCTCAAAAACATAAAAAAATTCTAATCCAAATTATTTTTCAAAGAATAAACAAAATTTTTCAGTCCACAATTTTCAGTTAGACCTAAAATGCTAAGCCAACCTATTAATTTCCAACCTAGACAATTACCACCGCAAATATACCCTACAATACGATCTGAAAATCTTCAGAAAATGCTGTTCAGAAAACGAACCATATTTTCAGAACGAATATTTTAGCCACATAAATTGTATTGAAACTGTAAATTTTCATTTAGCAATCCAATCCGAATATCATACTTAGCCGAAATCAGTGTATTTTGTAACAATGTATTACCCTATGTCGAAGTAAGTCATTAAATTAAACTTATTAAATTACTGATCTATACTGGAAGTAGTGTATCAATACGACGGAATCCAAGGTCACTTTTTATACAGGACTATTCACATTCGTTTCTGTACATGGGGATCTCGTAAACAGTAAGAGATAGAGTGTCTGTTAAATTGTGGCAAAGTTGCGTATTTTAGAGAACTATTCAATGATGTAAAAAAAAATTGAATATAGCTTTATTTTTTCTGGAGATATACAGGAAAAATATAAAAATTCCAAATTATTTTCTTGTCTTATCTTCTTTATTCGCAGATATATTGTAAATCTGCCCACATTTTGCTATGGGCATTTGATGTGGGCTACCAGAATATCTGTTCTGTTTTAAAATCTGTTTTTCCGTTAATCAGCTGTTGCCCCAGTCAGGGTCATGAATGTCACCTACTTTCCCATGACCTTGAAGACAGGAACCATGCTGGGGCATGGTTCTTTTCCTCTGTGATACGGAGTGTATGCAGTTCTGTTAGCCAAGCCAACAACTTGATTGAAGAGTTGGAGAAGTTGATTGACATTTCCTCCAAAGACATACCACCGACTCACCGATCAAAACTGCGGGAGTTAGTCAAGAAGTACCAGGAGATCTTCGATATTGGAGAAAGAAAAGGTGGCAGAACGAATGTGGTTCAGCATAGAATCGACACTGGGAATGCCCGACCAATCCGGCAATTAGCTAGAAGACTCCCTCTTGCGAAGAAAGAAGAGGCAGACAAGATAGTCAGCGATATGGAAAAAGAAGGAGTCATCGAACCTTCTGACAGCCCCTGGTCTTCCCCAGTCGTATTAGTGAAGAAGAAGGACGGCTCGACAAGGTTCTGCGTGGATTATCGTCAACTAAATCACGTGACGAAGAAAGACAGCTACCCTCTTCCAAGAATTGACGACATCCTAGGCACGCTAGCCGGCTCCACAATTTTCTCGACTTTGGATTTGAAGAGTGGAAATTTGTCAAGTTGAATTGGCCCCAGATCGAAAAAAGACTGCTTTCACCATCGGCTCAGGATTGTGACAGTTCACGGTTATGCCATTCGGGTTTTATAATACTCCAGCGACCTTCGAGAGATTGATGGAGACGGTTCTCAAGGGGCTCTCATGGAAGACGTGTCTAGTGTATTTTGACGATATAATCGTGGTCGGAAAATCGTTCGATCATCACATAAAAAATCTGGAGGAGGTATTCCTGCGTCTGAGGAGTTCTGGATTAAAACTTAGTCCCAAGAAATGCCATTTGTTCCAAAAAGAACTCCGTTACCTTGGCCGCGTTGTCTCTGGAGAGGAGTGGCAGTGAACGAACAAAAGAACAAAGCAGTCAAGGATTGGCCCATTCCAAAAGACATACATCAGCTTCGGAGCTTTCTTGGTTTATGCACCTACTACCGCAGGTACGTGCTGGGGTTTGCCAAACCATTGACCTGACTCACAGAAGGGCAGATTTAGTTACAGTGGTCTGAGGAATGCCAAGACTCATTCAAGAAGTTGTAAAGTGGTTTGATCAACGCTCCTGTTTTGAGTTATCCCTTACCTGACGGAAAGTTCATTTTAGATACGGATGCCAGCAACGTGGGACTTGGAGCAGTCCTTTCTCAGATCCTGGATGGTGTGGATGCGGCACTCAAATGGCTTCTGCAGTTGAAAAATCCAGAGGGCCAAGTAGCGCGCTGGATTGAGAGACTATAAGAATTTGACTTCGAAATAGAACATCGAACTGGGACTAGCCATAAAAACGCAGATGCCCTGTTACGGGGACAGACGGGGACATAAGAGAAGGAAGCAGCTATTTGTAGAACTAGAGTTGTGGGCGACAACTGGGAGGATAATAAGATCAAGGAAGACCAAGAGAAATACCCAGATCTTGGTTTAGTCATCGGATGGAAGAAAAGTAATCGAAGACCATCGTGGCAGGAGGTAGCAGGTCATTCGCCAGCGGTCAAGTTCTACTGGGCACAATGGAACTACCCTAACTTGGAAAACGGGGTTCTGAAGCGGGTGTTGGAGTCTGAAGACGGTGGAGAAGAAAGGCGCCAGACAGTGGTACCCAGGAACAGACGACGGGAGGTGCTCATAGAAATCCATGATGGAGTCAGTGGAGGACATCTGGGAGTAATGAAGACCCTCCAGAAAGTAAGACAACGGTTTTACTGGGTTAATTGTCAAGCCGACGTCAAGGACTGGTGCAGAAAGTATGCTGTATGCGCTACCGGAAACGACCGAAAGCTCTAATGTGCCAGTATAACGTGGGTAGTCCTTTTGAGAGAATCGACATCGCCGGCCCGTTCCCAGAGTTCGACCATGGGAACAAATAAATCCTTGTAGCCATGGACTACTTCAGCAAGTGGACAGAAGCCTATGCCCTGCCCAACCAGGAAGCCTTTACCGTCGCTGACGTCCTGGTAAAGGAATGAGTAGGTCGATTCGATGTCTCTCTCATTGGAGCTGCATTCGGACCAGGGTAGAAATTTCGAGTCCAACTTGTTCCAAGAAATATATAAACTGTTGGACATTCGAAAGACCAGAACCACAGCTTTACATCCACAGTCCGATGGAATGGTGGAACGAATGAATAAGACCATAAACCGCCACTTGTCCAAGGTAGTTGTAATTTTCCGAGGTTCTTATTATTATTATTTAATAATATCGTTGTTGTTGTATCTAAACCTCGCCGCATACCTTCAGAACGCTCTAGAATACCCTCTCGATAGTAAGGGAGCAATTGTACTGGAGATGATGAATGAGTATTCCGAAACGTCGTCGAGTATGTAACAATCCGGAATAATCCTGTTCAGAACCGAGCCGGTAAGTTCCAAACAGGCGAGATTACTTTTTATGTTTGACCAGGTGTTCATTTTAAATCCAACTGAAATACGCTTCGTGTACATTTTAAATATTTTATCTAATAAAAGACTAAACTACAAAAATATAAGAATATCATAAAACAGTAGGTGTTTCTCGAATATCTAGCTGTGTAATGCAGCAACGATCATTCATTCAAATAACAAATACTTATCTTAATATTATCGTTTACAAATCTTAATATAATCAATAGGTACGTCACTTCACTCAATCTTGAGATATCAGGGCAGAAATAATACCAATATATAACCATAGTTTCATATTTGTTACAGGGAAAATACCTTAATCAGTTTACCAATCATATTAACCATTAACACAACCATGTGTTAACCAACAGACATAATATTACCAATTTA